CCCCCCCCCCCCCCCCCCCCCCCCCCGACTCTCGTCCATCATCCAGAAACCAGAGTCGATGGTGGCCGAGACTCTCCGAATGAAGGGCGAGCTCGAGTTCACCCGTCTCTTGCGCGTGGACGGCCGGTTTGAGGGAGAGCTCATCACCGACAAGGGGAGCCTGGTTGTGGGGCCGAAGGGGGAAGTCGTCGGGGACCTCAAGAACATGCAGGTGGGTATTGGTTTGCATTATACATACTTGTTCATCTCTGCAGGGATGTGAGTGTAAGTACGACATGTTGTATGGAGTACGTGTGATACAGAAAGCGCCCTCCCGCACCTCTAGTTTTGGCCCAGGTTGGGGTTCTTCGGTCCAAGCCACGAACGGCGGCTCTATGCATCTACTGGTGTTTTTTTTTGTAGGGGTGAACTAGCTAACAAATGCGGCCAAAGGAAGTGACTCGTCTGCTGACTGCTACTGCTGTAGCGTGCGGGGGATATGAAGAGCCAGCAGAGGCCAACGATTGGATGACGGATAACGACGTTAAGCAGTACCCCTCCCGAGCACGTGCACGTCTTGGTAACCGGCGGCCAATTCGTTCATGTTTCAATGCGAGCACACATACACACACCCAGACGCGCGTTGGCTCCCGCCACATGCGGTTACATTTATTATACAGATGTGTTTTTTTTGCCAGGACGAGACATGGGCACACAGGCTAGACAAGTCCAGAATATTACGAAGCTTGGCTGAGAGACACGGCCTAAGAAAATGCCGCGATAAAGAGAGGACACGGACGATGGTTGCGATCTTCGGGGATGGTGTGTTGAGTGGAGACGACCCCGACATCGACAGTGTGTTTGTCACGCACGACATTCAGCCGCCGCTCTCGTTGGTGATGGTTTTTTAGTTTTTTTATCAGTTGCTTCGTTACGGAAGGCGCCGCCACGTGACTTATGAAATGCGTTGCTGCCGTGATCCACTGATTGGCCTGTTCTCTCTACGCAAAAGACTTGCCCCTGGTGTCTTTCGTCATGGTCTCTTGCGTTTTAGTTCTCGTGGCTCGGCGAAATGGCCACGTCAGGAATTATGTATGCATATTATTCCGGCCACATGCGATGCGTCTAATGTATGGATGCACGACAAGAACATGCAACATTTATCCCGGCAACCAAAAGAAAGACAGCCTTGTGTCATTTTAACGGACAAGACGAGCAACATTACTCCCGGCAAACAAAAGGACAACCGTGTGTCATTTTTTCTAACGGGTTTTTGTTTGTTTCTTGGTTTGACTTGACTTGACACGTCCCGAACAGGAAGTGTACGTGGAGGGCATCGTCCGCGGCAACGTTTTTGCGAACGACGTCAAGATCAAGAACGCCGGGATGCTCCTGGGCGACGTCCAGTGCATGTGCCTCACCCTCGACCCTACGGCGTCGATCAGGGTGAGCATCAACCACAACGTTCCCAACCCGCGAACCCAGCCTCCCTTCCTGCCCCCAACCCCACGCTGTTGAATTTCTTGTGTCTCTCGGTTCTCGCTCACCCTTAAGAAAGTGTTAGAGAAATATTATGTCGGTTTTGCTCCCGCTCACTGCAAAGACTTGTAGCGCACACCCTTGGAACTGCTGTGGTATTTTCTCGAACGGATAGTATACTAGTCTTTCCGTGTTGGTGTGCTTTCGAGAAGATGTGTCTTCTTGTGCGGCGAAGTAAAGTGAGCATGGGGCGTGATGGCCGGAAGGTCTTTAAGGTTGGCGACCGCCCCCGCGGAAGACTTTTCTAGGCTGTCAATACTCGAAACACTCCACACGGTGGGTGGTGAAATTGAGAACTCTCCCCACCATGAATGGTGGTCTAGTAGATGATGTTGTGCGGGGTCGAGAATCCTCACATCGCGCAAAGGGGATAATGGCAGGTTGTGTTTAATTGGTCGAACACCCTCGAGGCAGTTACACAGAGCTTACAACTGTCTCCGGAAGTGAAAGCACCAGAAAAATAAATTGAGTCATACATACGCAGTTGTCATCCGTACGCAAGGAAGTAAGCACAAGATGCCGAACACCCTTGGCAGGATGCAGCGCACCCTTCATGCGACTCGCCGAATACATCACGGCGCTTCGCGCTTGGTGATGTGAGAGCCTGGTCCGGTAGAACCCGGCGTGCTCCGTCCCGGCTTTGTAGGGATGCGAGGTCAATGGTCTAACGACTACGGCATGCACGACTATGAGTGCACCCCCACCCCACACCCGACGAGAGCACGGCCGGTGAAAGAAGCAAGGCCTGTTCTTGGGCAATCAAACACGTTCGCGCCTTCCTTCCGCAGCCCATGAACGAACCCGCAGGCATTGTAACGGTTGCTACGGTATAGATAGGTGGAAAGGTGCTGCTACCTTCGGCTCCGCTTTACCTGGCTCTTACAGTATTCCCCTGTTTTTTGTTCCGTTTTTTTTTTTTTGTGGTGTTGCCGAAAAATTGCTCTTTTATTTTTTTCTCAGGGAGTGACGGACACATTAACGGTGAACCCTTCGGCCACCGCCAGGGCTGCGAAGTATTTCGCTCCCGCCGCCACCGCCGCCGGCCCATCCTCGCGGAAAAGCATTCCACCAACCCTTCCCCCGTCCTACTCCTCTTCGGTCGCCGCCGCCGCCGCCGCCGCTCCCCGGGCGCAAGTTGACGAAAGCAGCAAGCCCTTGAACCCCGCCCCTTCCCCTTCCCCCCCGGTTACCCTCAAACTACCCCCCGCCCCCGCCGCCGCCGGCCATCACCAGGGAGTCACCGACAC